CGCCGCCCCTGCCGCCCCACGGCATTGTGCGGTAGAGCCACTGGAGCCGCTGCTGGAGCCCGCTGCGGACGCAGCCCCAAACCTCCACCGCGACGGCGTGGCTCCTGGAGAAACGAGCGGAGGAGGAGGCGGCGGCGGGGAGGAGGGCGGAGGCGTCGCGCCTAACTTGTCCCAGTTTAATCTCGAATGTAAATTGAAATGGGGAGAGGAGGCCACCGCACCGCTGCCGGCCCCGTATTTCCTATTCCCACACACAACGTTCTCTTCAGCATTTTTTTTTTTACTATGTGGAAGGGGAGAAGGCGTACGACGGGCATGCACGTTTGCCGTAAGCGTCTGGAGGCCACTTTTTACTCGGAGTGTACGGCTTGTGGTGGATGGGGTGTGGGTCTACCTTGAGGGGAAGGGTCTTGGAAAGCGAGCTGAAAGAATCGCCGTCATTGATTCGCAGCAGGATACTGTCAAGGAGGATGTAACTTGTCTGAACGCGATTGAGAGCTTTCTGGTTGGTGGTTTAATGTGGCACTTAAAAGATGCTCCAAAATAATTTTAGAAATGTTTCACGAAATTTTTTCCCGGAAACTAAAAATATTACTCTCAAGGGTGTGGCAGCAAATTTAAAAATACACAAAGTGGTGGTGATGGTGGTCACTGCGTGTCGATGTGCTGGTAGGCACTGGCCCAGGCCAACCCCTCGTTTGGATAGGAGAATAGTTTGCGGGTTTGGACGAGATTTCGAAGGGAGTGGAAAGGGAAGGGGTGTGATGCTTCTACCGCGCAGGAGCTCCGCGCCCGGCTCCACTGCACTGTTACAAAATCTATTGTAAATTTTCAACACGTTTGATGTAAAGTTTGATAGCGACAAATGTTGATAAAAATACAAAACCTGTTGTTATCAATCAACATTCACAACATTTTCTGAAACAAATTTTCATTTCAAAAAAGTGGTTATTTTTACTTACATTTGCGCCTACAATTTTTAACAACACAAAGTTGTTCGCTTTGTAACGATACATGTTTTGTGATCAAACTTTACAACGGTTTTGTTGTAGTGTTACAACATGGTGTTATGGCGGTCCCTTTCGCTCTCGCAGTCGCGCGCCGGCCGTGCACACGTTACGAGTGGTCTCTGGTCGGGGACGATATGCTAGACTGGGTCAGCCCCCTCTCTCCCTCCCCTCTCGACGCCCTTCTATCGCGGCTCCGCGCGGTCCCCCTGCGGAGATGCTATCGGCGGCGCGCTCGCCCACCTGCTCCAGGTCCCAGCCAGTCCCGGGCTGGCGTCATCTCCTCCCCATCGTTATCTGTACCACCGCGCGCGCTCCGAAACAATCCGCATGCCAAATTTGAACCGTTACCAGAGAACAAAACTATCATCATTTTTGCTTGTCTCGTTTATTTTGATTATTCCGGGTGAATTTGCCGGAGAGTATATCTGCGACATCACGTACGTACCTCCTTTAGGGGACGGGTATATGTTGAAGGAGTCGTCCTTGAGCCAGGAGATGACCGTGATGTAGTCGCGGACAAAGCTGGGGATGGTGCACTTGAGGATGGCCGTGTTGCCGCGCACCACGTTCTTGTTGTAGAAGACCTGCACCACGTAGTCCTGCAGCACCACTGCAAAAAGAGAAAAGGAAAAACATTTAGAGTACAACATTTATCAAGTTTTATTACACTTGAAGTGTCTCACGCAACACTGCCCCGCTCTGTTGGCTTTGAGAGCCGCCACGTTTTGAACGGCTTAAGTTTCTACCACGACACGAACCACAATCCCGAGTCCTATATTTGGGGTAGCGATAGATATCTACCACCCTCTTAGTTCCCTTACTGAGAGAGAGGGGGAGGGGGAGGGGGAGG